AAGAAGCCGAGAACCCGGCAGGACACCCCCGCGCCAGGATGAGGCTGAGCGCCACGCCCCCGCCCGGGCCAGGGGCAGCTCCTCCCGGGACAGAGCCGCTGAGCTGGCCCGAGCGGCACAAAACACTGACTCGGTCAGTAATTTCCTTGCACGGCCCTGGCTGAGCCTGCGTGGCAAAGCCAACCTCCCAGCAGCTCCTGACGACACCTCCCCGTGGTTCATCGGAAATGTTAATACTTAATGAGTAATAAATACAGGGTTTAATACTTAGCGTACGCAGTCCAAGGCTCCCCGCCAGGGAAACACGAGGGTCCCCCACTAACACTAGTGTCCTCTGAGCATCACGGCAGGTGCGGCGCCTGAGCAGGCGCCTCCTCCTCGCGTGACCTCCACGTGAGACAAACACGAAGGTATCTGGGAACAAACCCCCATGGAGAGAAAAGTATCAAAATAAACCATTTGAAGACAAGCACATACATGGAAAGTTTTTTGAAAGCGACACATAAGCCCATAATCTGTAACCTCACCTCTTTCCCCCTTACGCCCAGTAGTGTGTGAGCCAGTGCCCCGCGCGCCCGGCCTCCCGCCGGTGACCCCGCGACAGCCTCGCCATTGCTTCCGCCACCTGCACTCACCGGCTCAGGAGAACCCGCCCCCCAAACACTGCAGTTCACACCCAGGCGCCAACACCAGGGCGGAGCCCAGTTCAACAAGCACAGGTCCTGCTGGTGCCCAGAAAGGTGCCCTCCGGGCAGGAGGGGCGGGTGGACGCGCCGCGTGTCTGGCGCAAGAACTCTGGCCCCTACGCCTTCGTGGGCAGCAGCTTCTTGGGCGTCACCGGCCTCTTGCTCTGCCACAGGTGGCTGTGGATGGTGATGGCGTCCACGCTGGCAGACAGAGTCTTGGCAGGAATGTGGCTGAACTGCTTCCTGTCGGAATTGTACTTGTAAAGCCCCTCAATCATCTTCTTCGTGATGGACTTGGGGCCGATCCCCGTCAGTTTGCTGATGTCTTCCGTCTCGGGGCAGTAAGTGTAGAGAGACCTGAACTGGCAGCCTGAGTCCCGGAACAGGATCAGGAAGTTGTTGGCATCAGACTTCTCCATTTCCTGGAGAGTGAAACAAAAACACAACAAACGCTAAAACCTTAGTCTTGCTGCATAACTGTTAGTTTCTTGATCAAATCTGATGACATTTAATTTAAATTCTTAATAACCAAACAACATGCACATTATAAAAGGAGAGCATCTCGCCCGGCCAGCGCGGCTCAGCGGCTGAGCGTCGACCTAGGATCCAGGAGGCTGCGGCTGGGTTCCTGCTCGGGGCCCAGGCCCGGGCTGCGGGCTCGATCCCGGGGGGCGTGCAGGAGGCAGCCGGTCAAGGACTCTCATCACTGACGTTTCTCTCTCCCCTCCTCTCCCTTCCTCTCTCTGAGAGCATTAAAGATATATTAAAAAAAAAAAAGGCAGAGCATCTTTAATCGAAGACGTGTGCCAACTCCGAGGTCCTGTTGGCTCGTGGACAGGACAATTCTGTAGGACACTTAAAGGAATGAAGTGTCTGCTAAACCCCCGTCTGGGTGAAACTGTGCCCCCACCGGCCCTGACTCGTCTCCGTCACAACGCAGCTTCACTGTGAACAAGGAGGTCTGTGTCGTCTGCATTCACGAGGCATGAACCTGGGTGGGAGGCTGACCTATAACTTCCCACCGTCACCGACGTGCGGGGCCCACAGGACAGGGCGCTCAGGCCACGCGGCAGCCACAGCAGGGCCACAGGTCTCTTCTGAGCGGACACGTGGGAGCCCCGAGGGCCTCTGCCCCGATCGAGCCCACGGAGCCGACGCCAGCCTTAAACGCTGCGGGTCTAACTCGGAGACACGCCTACCTCCAGGATCTTCCTCTTCTGCCCCTCGTTCACTTTCCCGGCCAAGCAGCAGTGGGCGAGGGCGTTCTGTATTATGTGCTTATTGGACTTCGCACTGGGCTCTTTGTAGAGCTTTGGTCCTGGGAGGATTTAACAACAAAAGCCAGCCCTGAGGCAGGGGCACTGCTGCGTCCAGGTCACAGCAGCACCCCGCCCGACGGGACGCCCGGCCAGGGCAGGGCTGTGTCCACAGCGGCGCTTGGCCGCCCCGTGCACGTGGCTTCCCGCCACCCGCCAGCGGCCAACCCCCCCTTTCTCCCGCCTCGTTTCTCGAGCAGCGACTTCCCCACACCCCGTAACTGCTGCGACTGCAACAGAGCCCACCCACCCCCGGGCCAGGAGGGGGCCTGGGGACACGGAGCCGGGAGGCCCACCCGGGCCCAAAGCATCTCATCTTTTAGAGCCGCTGATCCCCGAGTGGGCTGAGGCTCTGAGACTGACCACGTGTCCGCGGGTCCCGGCCAGGCTCCGGGTTTAGGGCAGAGGCGAGTGGGAAGCCCGCGGGTAGAAGCTGTACCGACTCGCTCCCGGCTGAGCGCAGCCGCTCACCTGTGTACTCCGTCCCCGAAGCCACGGAGGACGTGGTGGACGCGTTCTCCCAGTCCTTCTCTCCGTTCCGACTGCCACAGCGGCTCGGAGATAAGAAGCCCTCCACAGACTCAGATCTAAACAGCAAATAAAACACTTTTATGTCTCAGATGGAGAATGGAGACTTGGGGTCAGGAGGGTCCCCGAGAGCACCCGCCAGAAGTGACCTAGCAGCTGGAAAACCCACGTGGCGCTGACTGTCACGCTCACAGGCCTGGAGGCAGCAGGCGCCGTGGGCACCGCCGAGGGGACCAACATCCCACGTGGAAACGCCACTAACACCGTGCGGCGAGGACACGTGAGGACATCACCGGGAGTGTCCTGCTCCCACAGGGTGTTAGAGAACAGGGAACGTCTCCTACAGCAGAGGGTGCCGAGACCTCCCCTGCGCCGCAGGCTCGAGGGTCGGCGTCCTTCCTGCTCCACAGGCGTGACTGCCCCAACCACATCAGCATCGTTAATGTCCCGCAGTTTATAAAAAGTCTTATCGACAGACATCACTAATTCTAGAACTCTAACGGTGAACAGTGACAGGTAAACGGGGCACTTCATATACAAGTTTCTTTTAACCACTGCAGTCAACAAACCCTGTAAGAATCTGCGACGGTGACAACTTCATTCCAACAGACGGAGGAAGTTGGGGCAGACCTCCCCCCTCGGACAGTGCGGACGGACAGGTGGACAGGTTACCTGGGTGTCCTCTTGCCCGACTGCACGCTCTCGCTGTCGCCCGTGTTCAGTGACGCCAGGGAAAGGCTAGAGACTGAAAAACATGATAAAGTCGTCACCCTGAGTGAAAACAAAACCAGAAACTTAACAGGAGCAACAGGAAAGAGTCTGCTCCTCAGCTCACAGCAGCCTGCGGGACGGGGCGTCCGGGGTTCTCCTCGGGGGACCCTCACTCTGCACACCCCAGGCTCACACGCAGACGTGCACAACTTACTAAGAAGGAGCCCACTTTTCAGAAAAAATGAGGAGCTGTTCCTAAAGGAACATGTCATATGAGACATGATAGGGTGATTATAAGAAATGAAAATTAACAAAAAAATATTAACAAAGAGAACAAAATATATAATAAACATTGTTTTAAAAAGTGAGTGTGCATGTTGAATTAAAAAAAAAAAAAATGTATCCTCTCAACTCCAGGAATCATAAACTGGGGTTTCTGACTGGGTCTGTGGGAAGAGCTCGGGATTCGTGATCTCATGTTTCCTATCACACAGACGTGCTCCTCGGACACTCCACACACACAACCTGGGTCCCTGGACGCACGAGAGAGAGACGGTGACTGATGCAGGGACCCCACCCGGGCAGAGGCCTGACAGGTCAGCACTTAGCCGGGACCTTCAGCATCTCACGTGACTTACGAACACATGGCACCCACGCGAGCCACACACTTGCACACAGGATCCACGCGAGCCACACACATGCACACAGGATCCACGCGAGCCACACACATGCACACAGGATCCACGCGAGCCACACACACGCACACAGGATCCACGCGAGCCACACACACGCACACAGGATCCGTGCGAGCCACACGCACGCACACAGGATCCGTGCGAGCCACACGCACGCACACAGGATCCACGCGAGCCACACGCACGCACACAGGATCCACGCGAGCCACACGCACGCACACAGGATCCACGCGAGCCACACGCACGCACACAGGATCCACGCGAGCCACACGCACGCACACAGGATCCACGCGAGCCACACGCACGCACACAGGATCCACGCGAGCCACACGCACGCACACAGGATCCACGCGAGCCACACGCACGCACACAGGATCCACGCGAGCCACACGCACGCACACAGGATCCACGCGAGCCACACGCACGCACACAGGATCCACGCGAGCCACACGCACGCACACAGGATCCACGCGAGCCACACGCACGCACACAGGATCCACGCGAGCCACACGCACGCACACAGGATCCACGCGAGCCACACGCACGCACACAGGATCCACGCGAGCCACACGCACGCACACAGGATCCACGCGAGCCACACGCACGCACACAGGATCCACGCGAGCCACACGCACGCACACAGGATCCACGCGAGCCACACGCACGCACACAGGATCCACGCGAGCCACACGCACGCACACAGGATCCACGCGAGCCACACGCACGCACACAGGATCNTTTCTGACTGGGTCTGTGGGAAGAGCTCGGGATTCGTGATCTCATGTTTCCTATCACACAGACGTGCTCCTCGGACACTCCACACACACAACCTGGGTCCCTGGACGCACGAGAGAGAGACGGTGACTGATGCAGGGACCCCACCCGGGCAGAGGCCTGACAGGTCAGCACTTAGCCGGGACCTTCAGCATCTCACGTGACTTACGAACACATGGCACCCACGCGAGCCACACACTTGCACACAGGATCCACGCGAGCCACACACATGCACACAGGATCCACGCGAGCCACACGCACGCACACAGGATCCGTGCGAGCCACACGCACGCACACAGGATCCACGCGAGCCACACGCACGCACACAGGATCCACGCGAGCCACACGCACGCACACAGGATCCACGCGAGCCACACGCACGCACACAGGATCCACGCGAGCCACACGCACGCACACAGGATCCACGCGAGCCACACACATGCACACACACACGCACACAGGACCCCCGCGAGCCACCACATCCACCCTGCTCCCTCCAGCTTCCCGGTCGGGCCAGCGTGACCTCAGCCTCCGGCGAGCGGAGCTCGGCGCCGCGGCATCAGCACGACAGCCAGGCTGCGGTTCTCATGAACGGACTCTCACAACAGCACGAGTTACCTGGCGGACCCTGGGTGGGCGTTTTGGGGGACTCGACGTGGTCCCTGTGAATGGACTTGGGGCGCGGTTTCTTCTGCTTTGCGGCCTGCGGGCGGGGTTTAATCACGGAGTCCATGTCCTCCATGAGCTTCAGCTGCTTGCGCCGCAGATACTCCTGCCGGATGAACTCCCTGCGAGCCCGCTCGCCCTCTTTCCTCTGACGCTCTTCCTCGGTTTTACGCCTAAGAGACCAGACGGTTAGCCTCCGACTCCGCCCGGCACACAGCCGCCGGAGGGGGGTGCCGACGGGGGTGGGGCTAAGTCCAGCACCTTGGGGGAAACGGCTCATTTGAGACACACCCAAGACCTGTGTAAACACACCATTAACAGGACGTGCGTGTGCGTGCGTGTGTGCGTGTGTGTGCATGCGTGTGTGCGTGTGCGTGTGTGTGCGCGCACAATCTCATTTTATTTTCTGAGCTTTTTTAGAGGGGCGAACGCTGGCGTGTTGCGCCGCCTGCTCAGGCATCGCTGGCTGCCCCGTGCGCCCCGCCCGGCGCCAGGCGGGGCGCGAGCCGCACCTCGTCTCCTCCTTCCTGTGTTCCGTTTCCGCCTCCAGCTGCTGCTTCCGGAGCTGGGCCTCCTTTTCCCGGCGAAGCCGCTTCTCCAACAGGGCGGCCCGCTTCAGCGCCATGTGGTTTTCCCCTTTCTGGTCGTCCTGAGACAAATTTCATGGAAAAAGGTGAAATGCTTTACGTACGGATAGTCTCATTTTCAACTCCTGTCACTGAAAATCTGAAATATCCACCCAGCCCCACCCCCACCACAGGTGGACACGTTCCAGGACCACGAAGCGGGAACAGGCTACGTCCCTCAGGCAGCAAGGACCAGCATCGCTCTACACGTCTCCCAACCCAGCAAGTCGGCAAAGGGCACTCGGGTCACAGGCACTGGGCTGTGGGTTTAGGCTCAACAGGGACTCAGGGGAAACCAGTTAACGTCTCCTCATTAGGAGCTTTTTACAAACTGGCATCTGAGTCTGTGAAAAGATCTGAACAGTGGCCTGTAAAAGGCTTTTGTGAACATGAGAAAGAGGCAGAGGCGCGAGAATAGCATGTCTAGACGTGTAGGTACCACGACCACGAGAGAATGTTCTGGAAATCAGTGGGCGTCCGTGCCCTGGGGACAGTAAACCTGCTCTGGGGACCCGGGGGCTGCTCCTGGAAGAAGCACGTCCACTAAAACACGCCCCACACGTGGGCCCACGCCCATCGCGTGGAGGCCCATCGCGTGGAGGCCCATCGCGTGGATGCCCCGCACACGGACATACCTTAAAGAAGAACCCGCAGCACACTTTCTGCTCATCCTCAAACGGCTCTCTGTCACTTTCTCCATCATCTTTATCAACAGACACGTCAGCCTTTTCAGGGGGCTTCAAATCCGAGAGGGACACTTCGATGAGACTGACGTTTTTGGGAGCAGGAGGCGGGCCGGCGGGCGGGAAGGCGGGCCGGGGCGGAGGCTCCGCGGGCCGGTTGGACGGGTCGTCACTGGGCGTCAGGCACACGGTCTCTGTGACCGGCTGGGACAGCACCTCGGACACGCTGGACTCCAGCGGCTTCACCTCCTTTCCCCCCGGGGGACGCGCCTGCTGCTCTGAGGCCTCCTTGGAGTCCGAGTCCTCCTTCCCGCCCCCCTCCTTGGGTCTGGGCTCCTTCAGCTGCGGTTCCCCATCATCTCCAAAGCACACGAAGGAGCGGGTCTGGATGGGCACCTGGCTGGGGGAGAACCGCCTCAGCCGCGGGAGGCTGTCCACGGACCGCGGGGCCGTCAGCGTGCGGTTCAGGGGCGCGATCTTCAGCTCGTTCGGCCGCGGAGTCCTTTGGTTCTTGACCGAGAAGGACGCGCTTTTCCTGTGAGTGGGCTGCGG